GTCCAAAGAGGTTGTATTCTACAGTCTGCCTGAATGTAATCATTGCGTAGGTGTGTAGTGTGATTCTGTGTAGTTTATTTATGGCATCCCGTTGGATTTGACGTCATCTGAACAGGACATCGCACGCTCACTATTGGCTTCAACACATTGTACGTGCTTTTCCTTGACCTCTGACCCCTCACAGACATAGAGAAGTTCACAGAGGTTGGCGGCCTGTCGATCTCCCTCATCCTCTGGGCCGTCCTCAACTCCGTCATCGTCATGATGGGGGCCATCCTCGTTGCATTTTTCGAGGTAAGACTCGAGGAGATTTGTTTTAGTAACCTTAATGACTTTAGTCGGCTTCTGCTTTGTGCTTTTGATTGTTCCTTGAGAATACTGTCTGAATTACACAACATTCACACGGAAGTGCAAGTGAAAACTAATTAGGGAACAGCCTACGCCAGTTTTTGTTAGTAAAAGTGAAAATCAGTACATCTGAATGTGCTTCCTTTATTCTGCCATTCAGGTTAACCACAGTCAGCTGAGATTTAATTAAGCAACATTAGGTTTCTTCATGCAAGCAGACTGATTACAAAAAAGTTTCAGTCTTGCTTCCCCCAAAAAAAAGTCTGCTTTCAATTCCATTTCATAACCACTGAGACATTTCATTCAACACAAAGAAACACCAACACCTTTCCCTCCTCACACCCTTATATGTTACTCATGTCATCCTAAATACTGTAGGTTTCTATATTTTAATATAACTCTCCCTTTTGTCTCATGCAGCCCATAGCAGCAGGAAGTGGGATCCCTCAGATAAAATGTTACCTCAATGGAGTCAAGATTCCTAGGGTGGTACGACTCAAGGTAAAGACACACATACACACACACACACACACACACACACACACACACACACACACACACACACACACACACACACACACACACACACACACACACATCAATGGATATTTTTGGAAGGAGTTTCTTATCTGTAACATGTTTTGTTTTCGCCCAACAGACCCTGGTGGTGAAAGTGTTCGGTGTTATCTGTTCAGTGGTTGGCGGTCTTGCTGTCGGAAAGGTAAACAAATATTATCCCTCACTGTCTGTTTGTTTCAAAATGCTGTCGTGAAGTTAAGCATCAAGTCTAGAACTGTAAACAGAGCAAAGACTACAAGATTACAACAATGCAATTATGTTTAGCATTTTTGGAATTGGAAAATTTGAGTTTTTCAATATAATTTCTCGTTAGATTGGTATTTAATTGACTGCCTGCCATGAATTCTCTTTCATACCTGTCCTCTTGTTTACCCACAATCCTTCAGGAAGGACCCATGATTCACTCTGGTGCTGTTGTAGCTGCAGGAGTCTCACAGGGCAGGAGCACCTCTTTAAAGAGAGACTTCAAGGTGTGTGTGTGTGTGTGTGTGTGTGTGTGTGTGTGTGTGTGTGTGTGTGTGTGTGTGTGTGTGTGTGTGTGTGTGTGTGTGTGTGTGTGTGTCTCAGGCTATTACACACATGGAAGTATATTCAATACTTGATTGTTCTTCATTCAAGCATGCTTTTGTACTACTGGCATGTTTTAACTTTACATGGATATGGTGTGTTTGTAGGTAAACTAATGTATAACGAGTAATACATGTGTGTTTGTAGATCTTTGAATACTTCCGGAGAGATACTGAGAAAAGAGACTTTGTTTCTGCTGGAGCTGCTGCCGGTGTTTCAGCTGCTTTTGGAGCTCCAGTCGGTAAAAACAACATCACTAAAGCACCCTACATACGTGTTTTCATATTTATCTGCCTGAATGTGCAGGCAGTTTAGCTGCTATAAAGACAACAGACCGAGCCGTGTGGCTGCATGCCCAGACTAATGACAGACACACCTGTAAGGGAACTTGTGTTGGACAGGACTAGTCAATCTAATTTAATGTAATTCAATGCAGTTCAAATTAAAGACTTTATTGGCTTTATTGATTCAGTTTTACAAATTGTGAGGCCAAAGCATCAAAGTACAAGTCGATCCAATATTGGTTCAAACAATAGACCAAAACAGTCAAATAAGTAATTATACATAAGAGATTAAATATATAACATAAAAACATACTAACTGTATCTGTATTAAAAAGTGTTATGTTGGTGTGTGCGGATGTTAAGGGGAGGATGAGGGGTTATGCTACAGCTTTGTTTTGATAAATGAATACATTCAAAATGTCCTAGAAGGTGGTACGTCATCGAGTCCCGCCGAAGGACTGTTCCGATGTCTAATTCTACCGAGGCCGGCGTCCTTCGTTGCGGGACATTTCGAGGATGCACATGTGTATCCTCCGCGGTCTTAAAATCCCCACAATGCTTTGCGCACGGACCAATTTCCAAAATCTTTGGTGGAAAAGGTTCCTATGTCTGATTGGCTGGGTGGAATGCAAACCACGCCCCGTAAAACTCCGTAAAAGTTGTTTGCGGCCTGCCAGTAAACCAGTAAAAAAAGCAGAAGAAGAAGTGACGTCAGCAGCTTAATTTGTCTAATCCTTCCCCAGGAACTTATTCCGTTGTGAACGCGATCTGTAGTTAGTTCATGAGAACTAAAGAGTTCTCATGAACTAAGTTCTCATGAACCTTTGTGGGAAAAGTACTGCGGTGTGAATGAAACTTTTGTATTGTTTTGTTTAGTGAACTTTTTGGCGTTGCAGTTACAACTCTCCGCCAACAGATGGGGGTGCTGCAGCCCCCTCCTCAGCACCCCCTCCCCCTTCCCGCGTCCATGCATTGCTAACCTTTGGTAGAGTTAGCTAACTTCAATTCCAACACAAAACCTCTAACATGCATTACATTGACTATTTTAAACAAAACGTAACTCTCTCAACTTGTAAAATAACGTTCATTGAACTTACCATTAAATAACTACATCAAGTTTTTCAGGGGCAACACAAACTGCAGAAAACGTTAGCTGCTAACTGTTGTTAGCTAAGACAGCTAGCTCGTTGTAAGAAACGAACCTTTGAGAAAGCTTTTACTCTCAGACTAGGGTGTAATTGTGTAGCGTTGCTTACCTCCAGAAGGACTTTTAGCTGTTTCATTCCCAGTAGAGAGAGCTGTCAGTCAGAGCCTCTTAAGCAGTGGGCAGAGTCACAGAAACGGCTCTCAACCGCTCTCAACCATGCTCTCAACTCCCCGACCGTTAGCGCCAGTTAAAAACCGTGTTTTAAACCACTTTGTTCCAACCACTGCTGTCTCGCAGTTCCTCCGTGTCCCGCCCTCTCTGTCTGTCACAGGACCTTATTTCGTAAAAAATATGTATTGAAGTCAATGGAGAGAGAAAGATTATCTTTCGATCCCGTTTGAATTGTGCCACGAATTACACATATGGTGTTTGTCAATTTAAAAGGTAATTTTGCAAGTCAAAACAAAATGTTGTCGTAAAACTGTGAAGTAACACATTTTTTTGTGTGAAACTCTCAATGAACTACATCTCTTGCACAACAACACACGTCACCAACATGGCCGTCACTACTGTCTTGTCAAAAAAGGGATTGACTACTCTCACTATCACCACAATGAAACACGTCCAGAAGAATGTCATGCAAAGCTGCTTGACTTCCTTTGATTCTCTCTGAACTGCCTGATATTTATATATGACTACTCTTACTGTTTAACATTTTTGGGTTACTTGATGTTACTTCATGTTAAGGCTAATAAAAATGACAAGGCTAAGCCGGCTGTAATGCTAACTAATGTGCTTGCTACTAGCTAGGTAGCTAACTTGATCCAGCCACTCCTGGTCCTTTCATCAGACGGGAAGCGAAAGAACGAGCAANACCCATTGCTGGTATGATAACAACCTGGTACTAAGCACACAGGCATCTTGTTAAAGTTATCTTATTTTAGCTATCTCTATTTTAGTGGAGGAAAACAATTGTGACATCAGTTATGAGTGACATCACTTACGCGACTCTGGGATTTAGTCTTTCATACAGTAGTCTTATATTTCAACAGTTTTACGACAAACTGTGACTTTTTTGACATGGAAATGATTTTTTAAGATTGACAAACATCATATGTGTAATTCATGGCACAATTCAAACGGGATCGAAAGATACGTTTTCTCTCTCCATTGACTTCAATACATAATTTTTCCGAAATAAGGTCCCCTGGATCGGAAGTAGATGGGGGTGACTTCGCCACTCTATATGCTCACTCTGAGTGAGGATTTAAATGGACTTGTTCAGGGCTTTGTGTTGCTGTAAGTGTTCAGCCTGTAACTTGTCAGCTGAGATCTAATTAGAGTCGCCTGAGGCGGAATCGCAGTCTCCGGGCTGTTTATTCATTGTTTTACCAACAGCCACTGGAATGTAAATCCACCCGTTTTGTCCATTTCTGAATATGTTCACATGCAGCTCGTCTTATCTGAAATTAGCTTGGTTAACAGATAAAAAAATGCCTTTTGTTTCACACCTGCCTTGTTTGTATTTAATAAATCTATTCTGAAATTCATGTTACACCTTTTTTGTATTAACATTTAGAATGAAACCGGCAAACACTGGACATGAATTTTAAATCTCAATAAAGGGACAGTCAAATAAACCCAAACACTTATAGTTTCAAGGAGTTTATTTTAAAGTTTATTCTCTCAAAATGTATTTGATATTTCCAACATTTTGGGATATTTTACATAGCTAGAGAGTACAAAATGCAGATTAAAAACCACTGAACAGAAAAGGCAGGAGTGGAGGAATAAAAGTGGATGGAGGAGGTGACGGAGTAGGAAGTGTCAGAATCTGAGTTACTGTAGATAGTGACAGATTAAAACAAGACCTAGTACATGTGATGCAAGTTTCCCATAACATTAAGAGGTGCGTTTATAACAGAAATGGGAGTACTGGTACTAGTAGCAGTACATCATAGGAGTGATGTTCCTCTGGCCCTCTCCACACGGGAACATATCTGTATTCCCTGTTTAGGCGGCCACAAGAACATCAAAAATGTAAATATTTTGCACAGAGATCATCATGGCACTACCATATGTCCTCTGGAGCTGAACAGTCTCATTAATCTTTCTTCACCTGACTTCCATCGTTCCTTTGAGGTCACTTGAGTTGGGTCGTAGTTCAGGGACAGAGCCCACAGTACAAGGCAAGACGGCAGTGGGAGTGTGTGTGTGTGTGTGACAAATGGACATTATAAATGCAGTTTCACAGACTTCACATACTGTACATACTCTGTATTCCCTGTGTATGCATATCAATAAGAAAGTCTTATTCTATAATGGCTTTATTGTTGAAACGTACCTAACTCTCCCTTCCTTCTCCTCCTTTACATTCATTTTATAGACACATTCCCTCAGCTCCACACTGCTACGGTTTGATCATCGCTTCAGATAGAGAGCATGCCTGGTCCTGTTGTGTGGTTTGGAAAAGCAGTCGAGATTCATCTGACCGACAGCTTGTCCTAGACTTTGGCTTGTAACGGAAAACCTTTTTGAATAACGGTCCAGTCTCCTTTACCGCCCTAACAAGAGCAACTAGTTTAAATGGCTTTAATTTGACCCACAACATTATCTGGCAAATACGATGTAGCTTTGTGAGATCAGAAGGGTGTTTCATAAAGTTAAAGAACAAATTAAAACAAGCTTATTTAGGCAAAAATGTTCTTCTAAAATGAGGTTTAAATAAGTCAAAATAAGTCGGAAATCATTTTGTTTAACTAACTTAAATCTATATATGGGTGTAGTTTTGTTTTGTTTAATATCTATGTCTCTGTGAGTGCAAACATCACAGTTGTTATGGGTGTCAGATTGAACCAGACTTTTTCACAATCCGATGTGCTCTCCTATGAAACGCCCTCAGCTAACAGAATACATTTCCATATGTGTGACCTTACAAGCCAAAGTCGAAGACAAATAAGGCGGGTCAAGTTGCTCTTGACTGAAGGTTCAAGAATATCACAATAGCACCATATCAAACTAATGTAAAACATACTTCATGCATCTGTAGATATATATATATATATACTGTATATATGAATAGATATGAAATTTAGGGTTCAATACACAAGTGTTGAATATATTTCAAGTTCACAGAAATAACTACTGCCACAGTTCAGCTGAGAATACAACCGGACCAGATCTGTATTCAGAGCTGATAGTGGCGCCTCATGACTGCTCGTATGTCATCAATTAAAAATCTCAACAGTCAAGCTCTTCACAGTGCATAGAGCATTTACTTTGCATGCCTGCAATGACACTTAGTGTGTGTGTCTGTGTGTGTCTGTGTGTGCACTGTACAGCACTGCGCTTAGCTCATCACCAAGTCCCCACGACGCATTTACAAAGCTTTCTAAAGCCTGTTAAACTCAATCAAGCTTTAGTGCTCCAAATTCAAATAGCACAGTATTACAGTTCACAACCATTGTATAAGGCAGGATGATTAAAGTACTCCTCAGTAATCTTGAGTCACCCTTTGTTCATTACAGGCCTTCATTTTGTACATGGCTATATCAAAGCTTGCCGAACTGAAGCTAAAAATTGCAGCAAAAGCAACAAAATAAAAGTTTAACAAACATTCTTTGGTTGAGTGTAAAAGGAGCATTCCTGTGCTTTAATTGAATTGCTTTGAATTTGGCATTTTGTTATAAAGAACACAAAGAAAAAAGTGGACCTTTGCAACAGTATGCTTAAATACAGGCAAAATAGTGATGGCTTTAACCTAAACTACAATAATTCTCGCTAAATAATATAAAAAACCTAGTGATTAAAAAGCTGGCTTCGACCGATTGTACACAAATACTACTTTCTCTTTCCAAGTTGCCATGACAACCTCCCCCCCTCCCTTTGGCCTCCCATCTTCCTTTACTTCTTCTTGCCAGCGAGACTGAACTTCTTTTCTTTTTTGCCGGCGCTGGGCTCAGGCAGGGCAGCTGAGGAGGAGGGAGGGGGCAGGCTGTGGGTTTTGGCCCCCGAGGGCCCCGACGCCTCCTCCGCTGCCAGGGGCTGGAAGGCCCTCTGCATGGCCTGGCTCCAACGCTGGAGCTCCTCCTGAAATTAAACGCAAACACAGAGGCTTAGAGGTGAGGGAAGTCCACGTCCGGAGAGGCAGTGTGTGTTTTTGTCTCTTGGTCTATTTGAATTAACAAGTGAGAGGGTTCAAACATTCAGATTGATAGATAAAAACAAGCTTGCTGTGGATTATTATCACTTGTAATGTTCCCTCTAGGGTAGTTTCGCTTACAGGATGTAAATGTGAATAACCTCATTAAAGTCAAACACTTACAGAAATAACCTTTGACCAAATTAGTGAAACATGTCAAACTAATATAGCTCTTCAAACTAAATGTAGATATGAATGTATGGTCTGCAGGATTGATTATACCCTGTAGCTATTTATTTACATTACATGAGGTCAAAGATAATATAATCACATGCCAAGTCCAGAACTTTCAGTCTCATGTTATTCACGAAAAGCTGTTATGTTATTGATCGCTAATCCATTCACGGTCAAAAAACTCACCTCGTCTTTACACTGGAACAAATACTCACTGCCGTCTGAAAGGCTGAGAGAGGAAAGAAAATTGAACGTTGTTGTGCGGTGAAATACAGAAAGAAAAGTGCTTTATTTGAACTTCTATTTGGACATTTAGTGTACCATGAATAGTAAACTAGTTTCCAAAAACACATTTTATTTCAGTGATCTAACCCAGGGGTTCCCAAACTTTTCAGCCCGCGAGGGNATCATCTCGCGACCCCCCCCCCACTTTGGGAACCCCTGATCTAACCTATGACGCTCTAACTTACTTTATAATCATTGCAAAAACATCCCTAATGTTTGTTTGAAACCAGCAGTAACCCTCCTTTGGAAGCAATTAGCTAAGCAAGTTCAATTAAGGCTTAGACTCTGTTAGCTTAGCATACAGACTACAGACCGGTGGTTTTACAGGAGGTCATGTGCGGGACTATTTTTTGGCTGAGAGAACATAATTACCCCTCAAAAACAAAACACTTCTCATCCAACCCAAATTAACATTTTCCCAATACGTCATACTATTCCTTGAATAAAAACCTTTAGAAGGAAAAGGATTCTCACCGCAGTTTGCAGATGTGCTTCTTTTTCTTGTAGATGTTGAGGATCTCCCAGCTGGCGTCACTGAGGAACAGAGGGTTCTCTCCGTGGTACGTGATGCCATGGCTATAAGTCTTCAGATCCTTATAGGCTGAGAGCTGCTCTGGCTTCAGCACAAAGAACAAGGTGGTCCATGACCTGGGAGGAGGAGGAGGAGGAGGAGGAGGAGGAAGAGGAAGTGGGTTTTATACTGATCATTTCAGGTAGCTAAGAGTAACAACAACATCACATTAACTCCATATAGAAATTGAAGTGACTGTTATTTTGTATATATTGATTGTTGTGGTTTTGCATAATGTAAATGTGTCTGTTGATTGTATATATATAGATTATACATATTTTATACATATTTATATACATATGTGTATATTTGTTTAATTTTTTTGTTGTATTCAGGATTGTTGGAAACGTTATTTCGATCTCTGTCTGTACACACAAACTGAAAGATTGACATTAAAGTTGACTTTGACTTAAGACTTACATTTTGTAATCAAAAATAATGATAGCAGCTCTTTACTCTGTAACAACTGTAAATAGTGTTTGTTAGCTAGATTAATTTTTGTTGCTTGCTTTTTAACAAACTGACTTTTATCCCCTGTTTAATCAACTTGAAAAGTAGATGGTTAATATGTTGTTATTGCTGATGTTAATGTGCAAAAACTAAAAAACCTGTTTACCAGCTATAAAATAGATGTATATTTCTAGGAGTTTCTTTTTAAATATGTTAATTTCTTTAGAATACGGAAATCTAAAGAGAACTCTTGAAACTTGTTTGAGTTCTTTAATCCCTCCCAAATAAAATATATATGAATGTAGAAACCTCTGTACTTATTGTTGCTGCTTGGTATAGCTGTTTAACTGCATATTGATTGTGTGTTTGATATGTAGCTTAACTTAAAGAATAATGAAAGAAAGAAAGAATACAGACTTAACTGTGATAAATAAAGAAAGTTGGTAACATTTCCTGTGTGGTAATATATTTTCCTATTTCACAGAACTGAATGTCTGGAATGGGTAACGATGTAAAGACTAGGAGGAGGGTGTAATACTGATCATTTCAGGTAGCTAAGAATATAAACATCACATTAAATCCATTAAGATTTATATTTTGTAATTAAAAATTAGGATTGCAGCTCACTACACTGTAACAATTTATTTTGTTGCTTGCTTGCTAACAAACTTACTTTGACCCCCTGTTTAATCAACTTGAAATCATAGGCACCACTTTCCCATCATCATCATCATCATCATCATCATCATCATCTACACTAACTTTTAAATCAAGTAGATGGTTCATATTTTGTTATTGCTGATGTTCATGTGCAAAAACGAAAAAACATTGAGACTGAAAGAGTTTTTAAAAACAGTTTGCCAGCTGTAATAAAGTTGTAGATTTGTTAATTTCTTTCAAATACAAAAATCTAAAGAGAACTCATGAAACTTGCTTCAGTTATTTAATCCCTCCCAAATAAAATATTTATGAATGTATAATGAATTGTTATATTTGTTTAAGTATAGCTGTTTGGGTGCATATTGATTGTGTGTTTGATATGTAGCTTAACTTAAAGAATAATGTAAAAAATAAATGTGAAGAAAGTTGGTAACTTTTCCAGTGTGGTCATATATTTTCCTATTTCACAGAACTGAATGTCTGGAATGGGTATTGATGTAAAGACTATTAAACATTTGGTAAATGCGCAAAAACAGTTTTTCCTATGCTCTTACCTATTTGAAGCCTTCTTTCCTGAGCCATCCACATCGTGTTTGCGTCCCAGCATGCCCTCCTGCAGCACCGTCTGGGCTCTGAGGGTCTCCAGGGGCATGGTGGCCGCCCTCTCTGGCTCCATCGCTGCCGACACAGAGGGGTCCAGCTCCAGAGAACCACTCTCCCTCATTTCGGACTCGATGGGCACCGTGGAGTCACCGGCCGTCTCCTCCAGCTGACCTGAACTTGGCTCAACTGCACAGATACCAGACTGATGGAGAAGGGGAAGAAGGCAGAAAAAAAACAGGCTGTAATTAATTGCTTGAAAGAAGGAATTTGGAGGAACTTAACCGCCTTTAAGAAATGCCACATGTCCACACAGTCAGTGGTAAAGGTTGGCCTCACAATGGTCCGTGACTACATTCTCAATGGAGCTTAAGGATGTCGAAATTAAAATCATGTGGAGAATTTGTGACACGTTTTTAACAAAAGAACTGATGGATGCACTTTAAATGAATTGTGGTTGAAAAAAAACTAAAGATTTTGATTTAATAGGGGTATTATTCTAATTATTATTATAATGTTTTCTTTTTAAAGCAGGAAAATGTACATGCATTTTTTCTCTGTAATGAATGTGCCTGAAATCAATGAAGCGTCTAAAAAGTGAAAAGTGAAAGTGATGGGCTCGACTGCACCAAAACCAGACTGATGGAGAAGGGGAAGAAGGCAGAAAAAAAACATGGAGGGGAAGCAGTGATGTATGAATCTGTGTTTATCTTTAAAAGTGCTGAAATAGGGTCTGAGCACAGTCACATTTATTTTCTTTAATAGCAAGTAAGTTTTAAGTAGGTATTTAAAATAAAGGAGTTAGTATAATAAGTACAGAAGAAAGGCTGATTTGATTTGCTTAAACATGCTCCCAACAGGTAGAGGAGCAGAGTGAGGGTAGTTACTAACCAGAGTCTGATCCTCAATGGTGCAGAGCTGCGAAGAGTCTTCTACAAAACCTGTGTCTTCTCTCCTGGAGGGAAGAGAGCGGCATGAGGTCGGAGGAGAGACTTTTAAGCAGCTAAGAAACAATGTGTGCAGGAAGAAAATGTAACAGAACAGCTTGTACTTTTTTAGGATGTTTGTGAGGATTGTTTGTATGCATGTGTGTATTCCTAAATGCAAAGGAGCACATAGTTTCTCAAAAGGACATGTGACATTAAATCTGTTTTATTTTTATTTTAATCAGACCCAGTCCATTTCTTTGCCCTTCAATGGCTAACATTTAATGCATTACTCTGCTATAGCCTCAAACTGAGTGTCTTCATACTATACTATTACATGCAGGGCCGGCCCTTGGCATAGGCAGTATAGGCGAATGCTAAGGGCGCATCAATGGACTGATGGATGTTAGAAATTAAAAATATATATTTTTATTTTATTTCATAACAACACAATTTCCCGATTTTGGATCAACAAAGTACATCTTATTATCTTATACTAACAGAACTACGTCTATATTGTGTACAGCGCCCATAAATTATGTTTTGTGGGGGGGCGCCAGCTAAAATCTTGCCTAGGGCAGCAAATTGGTCAGGGCCAGCCCTGTGTGTGCCGTAGGATTTACAGTCACCACAGTGTCTTCCTCTGAATAAAGTGTTGCCATGATAACCATGTTGGTTCTGTTCCAGTGCTGGTGCAGCGTAAAAGAGTCCTGCTGCTCAGCCACCTGCCACACCATCACCAAATCCTGAGCATCATCACATGCTGCCAACCAGTGCATGCCAAAACCTTCAGTACACAATATTCATGTGAAGCAAATACAAATGCAGTCAAATGTAAAGGACGATCAGATGGCATACATATTGGACAACACGAGACAATGTGGTTGTTTCTAAACGTACAATTAACCAAGAAGATGAGAAACACAGTAACTATGTACATTACTTTAGGCGCTTAAAATGATCATCTTATTATGCTGCACTTCTAGTTCCTTTGTCTCGAAGATCTGTGGTTAACACAGGTTACAGATGTTCATGTTTGTACTACGACATAAAATATGTCAGTGAAAACCCCACTGGTGAGTGTCTTAGAAACCACGGTTGCTAACAAGTGACTAAACAAGACTAGTAAATGCCATCATGCAGAACATTAGCCACCTTTAGCTTAGCGCTGTTGACGCCGAGTCTTGTGACCGGGATGTAGGTCCTTTTTAGTCAAGCATTAGCTTTTTGCCTCTTTTGATTACATTTTAGCTTTGGTAATCATAAAAGTGGTGTAAATATGCGAAGATGATCCTGCTGGACAGAATGTGTGAGTATGATTAACATGTGCTTGCCAAAGATCTTATTTTCTGTAATATTCAAAATTCCAATTTTAAAAAACCCATTGCTTCGGTCGGCCTACAAAATCTGAGGGCCAATGGGCATCTGAAATATTTGAAGAAAAAACAAGCAGCAGTTAAATGTGAGGGGTAAAGGCACAGAACATGAGCAGGGAAAACGTTACCAAAAAGCTTACAATGAAAACCAATGTTTTTTTTTTATCTTTTAATAACCCTGAACATTTTGAACATATTGTACTCCTCATTGAATTTAAATATATAAACATCCACACACTTTGGACCCTTTTTAAATGTATATATCTGTATATATTTGTAAGTAGTAGGTTGGTGTTTTATTGTGTTTTTTCATTTTATTAAACTATGTTATATAGTGTATTCTATCGATTCTATAAAGATATATATACTTCTAATATGGATATGAATGTATTTACTGTTTATTTAAATATTATTTTGTATCTCATCTGCTAATATCTTACTGAAAAAGATTCAAGAGGGACGCAATGTGAGGTTGCCCTCCCTGTGGCTAGAGGCTGCCAACAGAGGTAACAATCAAACAGAAAAGAGTGGGCTTGGTAATATACATAGAACCAATACATATTCTTGCTAACGCATTGAGTCAAATAAACATAATAAAAAAATAAATGAACGTTACATGCCGCTGGTTATTTAAAAATGACAGCTTTTTGCATTTCTGGGAATTGTCTCAGATGTAAAGGTGCTATTCTGTTAACACAAATAACGAGAAGAAAATCCATCACCATAACTGCCTTGTTAACATGCCGCTGTAACAAAACAATTCCCAAATACGGGATCAATAAAGTGCTAATCTAATCTAATGTGTTACAGTAAATGCTGGTCCTGGACAGGCCCCTGAAAAATTTCTCAGCTGAAAACTGTCAAGTCATCATTCCTCTTTCTTTGAACTCGAAGGACTGAATTATTGACGCTGACAGGCAAACTGTATCCTCAGTAAAGTCCACGCGACTCGCTGCAGAGTGTACACTGCACCAGGAGAGCAGCATCAAACATTCACCAGCTGGTTCTCCTCCAAGCTCCAGGGGAAGCACACATGCAATCTGATGGAAGCCTTTGAGGAATGTGCTCAATGCTAATCTGATGCTGCTGACCAAACTCTGCAGGGTTTCTGAGGGCTAACATGGCCAAGAGACCATCAGGAGAGGATGGAGCTGGTCATCTCTTTCATTAAAGATGGGAGAAATGGTAACACTGATAGTGACCAGGTGGTAAGATGTTACACTGAATGTATATTTGAGTATTATGCATCCATTATGTGTTAGCTATATCTGATATAGGTTATTGTAAATCATTTTTTTCCTTTTTCTCTTTCTTCTCTTTTTCTGATTTGTGGACGGTTATGTAGTTATTTAATCAATTTAAGTGTTTGATTTGATATATACAGTGGTGTTAAGTAACTAAGTACATTTACTTAAGTACAATTTTGAGAAACGTGTACTTTACTTTAGTATTTCAATTTACCCCACTACAATTCAGAGGTAAATTGTGTACTTCTACTCCACTGCATGTATTGAATACCTTGAGTTACTTCACAGATGTGGATGAATGATGTGAAATATAATCAAGTGTTAAATCAGACTTTAGTTCCACCTGTAAATTCACAAGCTACCCTGCAGTATGCAAAGTCATTCAAACTAGCTGCACCTTTACCAGCTTTGAGAACACTTTAATGATCAATCATTATAAAACATATCATATATATTATTCTGAAATGGACCAATCTGCACAATGACTACTTTTACTGTCGCTACTTTCACTATATTTTGAGGCAAATTTTTACTTGAGTAACATTTAGAATGCAGGACTTTTACTTGTAACAGAGTATTTCTACAGTCTGGTAGTCTTCTACTTTTACTCAAGTACAAGTTCTGAGTACTTCTCCCGTTTTGTATGCCTTGTTAACAAATAATCTCTGAAAAATAACAATAAAAACACACATTGGGAATAAAGCCAAAAAAACCCAGCTAAAACATATGAAGTAATCATTCATAGAGCTGACTTATTGCTTGAAAGTAAGCATTACTACTGCAGTCCATCAATTAAAACCTATATTAGTGTTCTTCCCAATAACAATCTATGATTAATCTCCCATTACAATACTACTTGTATTTTGGGGTAAGATAAAACACACACGTGGTGTAGTAACAAAAAGATGCATGACAAACTGGTAAGAGAAATCAGAGAGATTTTTACTTTATTATCACAAGATTTCAAAATTATTGTCATGAAGTCTGACCGTTTTCAGATAGTAAACTATAGCACAGACAAAGCCGCTCACCCTCTGTGTAATGTGCGCTACACTGGCCATTTCCTCTCTGCTGCTCTCATACTGCAGCATTTTCTGTTCCTACGATGGTGACCCTGTCCACTATATCACACTCTTGTACAACTTCAAGAAACAGGCGCATGGCAAAATGCCTTTCCTCCGTTTTCATCAAATCTTAAGAATGAGTGCAGTTGTCACGGATTAGATGTGCCGTTACATTGAAGTAGTGCTGGTACTTACTCCACATTCTCCACATGTAACCTGTGCCAATTCCTCTGCTTTCCTCACTTCCAATTCTTTGTAAACATCCGTTAGTATAGGAGCAATCTTGGGTCAAATTTGATAATCTGATTCATTTTGTGTTAATTTTGCGTTATGGTTTCCAGATTAATCGCGACCATTACATTAACATTGAGATATTTTTTCATCACACAACACATATTTATAGTTTGCAGTGTGACTGGGTGACAGGCACAACTGCCAATTCTCTATCCTACAGTATACTATAGCACTCCGGACTGCAGTGGTTCCTGAAGAGTGTGCTGCAGCTCCAGGGAAGCCCTTGGAATGGGCCAAGGCTGACAAAAGATGTGCTTATTTATATTCTTTATGGTATATTCCACAACATGAAAAACAATTACATCAGCTACATTAACTACAGTACTATAAAAAGCCCTTAGTATGTGGTTATAGGGTGGCTGTGGCTAAGGGGCTAAATGAGTACCAATCCAAAGGTCAGTGGTGGTCAACATGTCGATTAAATCCCCAGTTCCTGTTGTCAACATGTCGAAGAGTCCTTGGGCAAGATACTTAACCCCAATTGCTCCCGTAAGTCTAGAGTACTGAAGTGTATGTTAGTCGCTTTGAAAAGAGCAGCAGCTAGGTGACATGTCATGTAATATAATGTCACATATTGTTGACATGACAGTTCATATTTGCCAGTTGCCATAGTGAAGAGAGGCCCTTTTTGGCACGTTTCAAAGGCCCAAACCACTCCACAATTAACTTGCTCTGACAGTTGCTGTTTCTGATGGATGGATGATTGATGTTAAGTGAATAATCAAGAAGGAGAGCAAAGCATAAAGGAGTTTGATGCGGTGGGCATGGGCTTGTGAAGGCTGCAAAGGGACCCGGTTTGTCTGTTGATCTACAGTTAACACTAACTTGAAATGTGAAAACAGCAATAGCATCACATTGACCCTTTTGCACTACATTTCTTGTTAACCACATTGCGCAAAACAATTGCATGGACTGTTTTTGGCTTTATAGGTCAAAGCTTGGCTGTGGCCCAGGAGGTGAATGGTTGTCTACAGTGGTTTGATCCCGAGACCCTGCTGTCAACATGTCAATGTGTCATTAGGCAAGATCAAGACCCCAGGAAGAGTGCCAG